AGCAATGCTCTGCTTGCTGGGGTGAGCAGTACCCCGGGTGGGACTGGCACAGGAGCTGTCCGGGGTGGTGGGAGCTGGCACAGGGACACAGAGCCCTGTGCCCAAAGCCCTCTGGAGCCCTGGCACCACTCCAGCCGTGCCCCACAGACCTGTCCCTGTCTCTTCCCTCCCCAGTGCTCCGTGACCTGTGGGAATGGGACCCAGCAGCGCCCAGTGCACTGCAGCAGCAGCAGCAGCAGCAGCAGCAGCAGCGGCAGCAGCAGCAGCAGCAGCAGCAGCAGCAGCAGCAGCAGCGGCAGCAGCAGCAGCAGCAGCAGCAGCAGCAGCAGCAGCAGCGGGGCCCCGTGTGACCCTGCCCAGAGACCCAGCCCCGAGAGGATTTGCTCCTTGCCACAGTGCCACCACAACTGGGACAGCGGCCCCGACTGGTCCGGCAGCGGCTCCTCCAGCAGGGAGATATTTAATGAAATCCATTACATCCCCAGCAACCACATTCCTGAATTTAACCCCTCAATCCCAAACATCCCGGAGTCCAACGATGTCAATGTCATCACCGAGGAGGACTTCTCAGCCAGGAAAGGAAATGTCTTTGTCGATGATTTTTACTACGATTATAACTTTATCAACTTCCACGAGGATCTGTCTTACTATCCCTTCACGGAGAAGGAGAGCAAAGGCGAGGAGCTGAAGCCAGAGCTGAGCCCTGCTGGCACGGGGGGGCCCTGGGAGCTGCCCACCGAGGCCCTGCTGACCACCGGGCTGGGAGGAGAGAGCCAGGAGCAGCCAGGCACCGAGGAGGGACCCGCTCCTGCTCCTGTGGATGGGCAAGACACAGAGCCCGGGGATTTAGCCACCAACGACCTCCTGAGCGTGGTCCCCGAGGATGTGGGATCAGCCACTCCAAGCTACACCACCCCTGGCTTTTTGGGTGAGGAGGAGGAGGGTGCAGTGGCTGTGCCCCACTCTGAGCACCTCCCGCCCACCCAGAGCTCCGAGACCCACGGCTCTGCACACCAGGGCCCCGTGCCCTGGGCTGAGCCCCACGGAGCTGTGCCCTCCAGGAGCAGCCTTGGGCAGGATGCCCCCTCTCCCGGGGGTCCCCAGCCAGCCAGCCTGGGCTGGGACAGTGCCAGGCTGGATGTGCCCCACGGGCCAGCAGCACGGGCCAGCGGGGGCCCTGTGGGCACACAGGGACACGGCACAGCCCAGCCTGCAGGGAGAGGCCCCGGGGACCCCGGGGAGATGGCTCTGGCCACCAGCAGTGACCCCAGGGGTGCAGCCCCACGGCCCAGCGAGCAGCACGGGTGGGCAGGAATGGAGATGCTGGGCACATGGGCAGGAGGGCAATCCCATGGCATGGAGAGGGCAGATGCTGTGGGACAGGGAGGGCACCAGCCAGAGCTCCACACCCCCACAGCCCCCACCTCAACCCCCTCGGTGGCCACAACAGCCTCTCCTGTGTCCCTGTCCCCTGCCGTGCCCGGGACAGCCACCCAGCTCACCTCCAGTGGCCTCAGCCAGCAGGACACCCTGGTCCCAGTCGTGCCCACAGCCCCAGCTCGTGGCCCACCTGCCCACACAGCAGGGGTCCCCCTGGAATGGGGGACAGAGCACCCGGGTCTGGCATCGCCCCGCACTGAGCTGACCTCCCATGGGACCCCACTCAGCGTCCCTGCACCGAGGGACCCCTCACCATGGGCACCCCCAGGGACACCAACAGAGGAGCCCTCACTGTGGGCACCCCCAGGGACACCAACAGAGGAGCCCTCACCGTGGGCACCCCCAGGGACACCAACAGAGGAGCCCTCACCACGGGCACCCCCAGGGACACCTGATTCCAGTGACGGGGGGCAGGAATTGTCCCAGCCCATCCCTTTGTCCCCCGTGCTCTGGGAGAAGAGGCTGGAGGAGGAGGAGGAGGAGGAGGCTCTGCTTCCACCGTCACCCACCGCAGCAGCCCCTGCCAAGCCCAGCTGGGAGGTCGGGAACTGGAGTGAGGTACGTGGTGAGTCCCATTAAAAGTGTGACGTGGCCAGTAGGGATGTGAGACCTGTCCCTGTCCTGGCTGGCTCTGGGACGTTTCTCTTGGCAGCAGTCAGGGACTGGGGTCATTAGTGCTAATTAGCAAACAACTGGCACCCCCAGCCCCAGGTGCTGCCCTGTTTTCCCTGTGGGCAGCGTGGGCAGCGTGGCCATGAGGCTCCTCCTGGGAGCAACCACTGAGTTCCCTGTGTTGCAGGGCTGGGGGCAGGTTTGGGGACAGGTTTTGGGCAGGTTTGGGGTGCCCTGCAGCAGTTCCCTGTGTTGCAGAGCTGGGGGCAGGTTTGGGGGCAGGTTTGGGGGCAGGTTTTGAGGGAGGTTTTGGGGCAGGTTTGGGGGCAGGTTTTGGGGCAGGTTTTGGGGCAGGTTTGGGGGCAGGTTTTGAGGGAGGTTTTGGGGCAGGTTTGGGGGCAGGTTTTGGGGCAGGTTTGGGGGCAGGTTTGAGGCAGGTCTTGGGGCAGGTTTGGGGTTCACTCCAGCAGCTCCCTGTGTTGCAGAGCTGGGGGCAGGTTTGGGGCAGGTTTGGGGGCAGGTTTTGGGGCAGGTTTGGGGGCTGGTTTTGAGGCAGGTTTGGGGGCAGGTTTGGGGGCAGGTTTGAGGCAGGTTTTTAGGCAGGTTTTGGGGTTCACTCCAGCACCCCCCCGTGTTGCAGTGCTCGGCCACGTGCGGCCTGGGCGCGGTGTGGCGGGCGGTGCGCTGCAGCAGCGGCAGCGACGGCGGCTGTCCCGCGGCCGACAGGCCCGTGCCTGCCCGGAGGTGCTCCCTCAGACCCTGCTCGGCCTGGCGTGTGGGCAACTGGAGCAAGGTACGGGGCCACGGGCGAGGGAGGGTCCCCAAAACCTACGGGGCAAGGTGTGGGGTCACACCTGCTCTTGGGGAGGGCTCTTGCCCCACGGCTCACATGGGTAAAGGTTTGCGCTTGCCATGGGGTTTAAACCACTCATCCCACAGTATTTTCATGTTTCCTGCTCTTGGGCTGGTAGAAAAGTCAGGAATTTGTAGAAGCTAAAATCTTCTTTAAGTGGATTTGATGAAAGGCCAGGCTGGGTGGGGCTGGACAAGCAGCCTGGTCTAGCAGGTGTCATCCCATGGCAGGGGCCTGGAACAAGGTGGTCTTTAAGGTCTGCTGCAAGCCATTCTGTGGTTCTATGATTTGTCATGTGTTCTGGCCACTCTGCCCTGCAGGGGCTGCTTGCAGTTGGGTTGGGTGAATTTGGGTTGCTGGTGGGGAGCAGCCCTCCTTGCTCTGGGTGGTTGCTGCTCCTTGGGATGATCAGTTCTTTAAAGGCATAAAGACTGCTCTTGTTCCAGCTGGAAACCGGCTGGTTTCAGAGGGGTGCCAGGGACAGATGAGCCACACCGACTGTGCTCTGGCTTGGCCTAGAGCAAGAGGGGAAAGGAGGTGTGCTGTCAGCTGAACCCATCCCAGGGCAGAGCGTGTTCCTGGGGTCACCTCCCATCCCCACAGGGATCCCCCTGCCCGGCTGTGCTGCCCTCTCGCTCTGTGTCTGTGTGTCCTCCCGCTCCGTGTCTGTCTGTCCCTCCCCACCGTGGCTCCGTGTCCCCGCAGTGCTCCAGGAGCTGCGGCGGGGGCACCAAGGTGCGGGACGTTCACTGCGTTGACACCAGGGACCAGCGGCTGCTGCGGCCCTTCCACTGCCAGGCGGGGCTGCCGCAGCCCCCGGCACAGCTGCCGTGCCACAGCGCGCCCTGCCTGGCCTGGTACACGTCCTCCTGGAGAGAGGTACTGCTGCAAATGCAGGGCACCCCGCTGGGGAGAAATGGTGTATGACTGCAGTCCAGAGGGCTGAATGATTTCTTTATTATAACTATGCTAGAATGCATTAATATACTATTTAAAGGAGATACTACAACTACAAACCTACTTTTTCTAACTCCCATATCTAACTCACTCACAGCTCGTGACCCTCTCTGAGAGTCCAGCCTCAGGTGGGTTGGATTGGCCATCAGCTCAAACAATCCTCACCAGAATCCAACCAAGCAATCACCCCAAGGAAACAATTCTCCCAACACATTCCATATGGGAAAACAAGGAGTAGAAATAGAAATTGTTTTCTCTTTCTTCTCTCTGTGCTCCTCTATGAAAAATCCTGAGAGGGAGAAGAATGTGCCTGCCACAAGGTGTGGGCTGGCCTGGGCACAGTTTGCCCACCCCTGCCAGGGGAGGGACACCTGCTGCTGTCCCAGGGGACTCCAAGCCCTGTCCAGCCTGGCCTGGGACACTGCCAGGGATCCAGGGGTAGCCACAGCTGCTCTGGGCACCTGTGCCAGGGACTGCCCACCCTCACAGGGAACAATTCCCAATTCCCAATATCCCACCCAGCCCTGCCCTCTGGCAGTGGCAGCCATTCCCTGTGTCCTGTCCCTCCATCCCTTGTGCCCAGTCCCTCTCCAGCTCTCCTGGAGCCCCTCCAGGCCCTGGAGTGGCTCTGGGCTCTCCCTGGAGTGGCTCTGGGCTCTCCCTGGAGCTGCTCCTGGCACAGCCCTCCCGGCTCTGTCCCGCAGTGCTCGGAGCCGTGCGGCGGCGGGGAGCAGGCTCGCCTGGTGACGTGCCCGGAGCCGGGGCGCTGCGAGGAGGCGCTGAGGCCCAACAGCACCCGGCCCTGCAACAGCCAGCCCTGCACCACCTGGGTGGTGGGCTCCTGGGGACAGGTGAGGGGGGTGCTGCCCTGCAGGGAGTGGGACAGGGTACTCAGGGTGTCCCGCTGAGCCCCGCGTCCCCGCAGTGCTCGGCGCCCTGCGGAGGGGGCATCCAGCGGCGCCAGGTGAAGTGCATCGACACCCGCAGCGGCGTGCCCGAGGAGGACAGCAGCCTGTGCCACCACCAGCCCTGGCCGGAGAGCACACAGAAGTGCAACCCTCAGGACTGTGACAGCTCCCAGCCAGGTGAGCAGCAGGTAAAACCGGCCCCGAGAGGGGCGTGGAGGCCGTGGGAGATGGAGAGAGCATTTCCTACAGGGAAGGCTGACTCCGTTGCTGGATGATTAAGTGGGAATGTTGTAACTGTCTGCAAATGTCAGAGCATCCGTCCCTCAAGGGCCAAGCAGGGTTTTGCTGGCACGGACGGGAGCTGGGATGTGCTTGTTGGGGTCAGCGGTGTCACACCCGAGGGACCCCATCCAGAGGCAGCAGGGCATTCAGGAACGGGAGGGCACAGGGAATACCCAGTGATGGAGCTCTCAGGAAACTGCTTAGTGGTAAAGTCCCAGAACTCAAGACTTGTGAAACAAGCTGGGCCCAGCATCAGAAGATGGGATAAAGGAGCAGTTCTCCAGCATCTTCAGGTGTGTCTGAGCAGGTGCTCCAGGGAGCCAGCCTCATTTCAACCTGTTTGTCATTTACCTGCCCCAGCTGCAGCCACAGGGCTTGGCCACGCCACGGGCACTCACCTGGTTTCTGCTCCCTCTTCCACTCACAGGGACACATCCCAAGCACCAGGCAGCTCCCTGGGAGACAGAAATCTGGGGACTGCAAGAGTTAACAGTCCTTACAGAAAAGCAGTATAATGAGAGATTAGATGTCACTGATATCTTTATCTCTTTAATACATCTGTGCAAAAGAAAAGCTTTTTGGCTGCCCAGAAAGTATTGCTGGACCTCCAGGAGGTTTAGTGGACAAAGGGAGGGCTGAGAGATGGGGCAGGGGGGCAGCAGTAGCTGGTGCCTGGAGTGCAGGAGCTGGATCCATGGCTGCTCCACACATCCCTGAGGTCCCTGTGCAGCCTGGGACACCCATTCCAGCCTTCCAGCTCTTTTTGTTTATCCCGTGCCCAGCGTGTTCCTCCCAACACCAATTCCAGAGCAGGCAGGAGCTTTGGCTAACTGGGATTTGGGCACTGGCACTGTTGGCCATCAGGATGTTTTTAGCCATTAATCTGCTCCTTTTTTGGAGCATTTGCAGGGCCATGGGGCACTCCAGCACTTAGGGAACAATGAGTCAGCCCTGCTCAAGACACGAGGTGCGGTTCCGGCTGTTTTGGTCAAGGGAAAATTTCCGTGCCAGGCTTGGTGATGAGAGCTGCAGAGCCAAGGCTGGACCAGAATAACCACCGAGATGTGTAGGAAGCACACAAATAAATGGTAGAATCCTGGATCAAGAATGACATAAATGCTCTGGCTGCAAACCAGGGCAGGAAACGCCTCTTGGAAACACAAACGTTTCCAGCCAGAGCATGAAGGGGAACAAAACTTTCACATGGCAGGAAATCCCAGATGTGTAAATGCACAGGCAAAGGCTCCCACAAAGACATAAATGTAACTGCAGGCCTTTCCTGTGCTTCAGGGGATCTTTACTGCACAAGATGGGCTCAGGCTGGAGCGATTTGTGGTTTTGTGAGGAGCACAGGAGCCTCTCTCCTGTGGCACGAGGTGCTGCTGTACCAGCAGAACCAGGGCTGGCTCTGTCAGTGGCCGTGTCCTCACTGGACACAATAACCCCAGCAGGGTTTAAATGTTCAAACACTATCAGATGGATTTGGAGCAGAGATGGAACAGATGAAGCACAAACAAGCATCTCACGGCAATCAGCTCCTCAATTAAAGGAGGTCGGGATTAATTAGAACCAGAATCTTGAGCTGTTGCCAGGTTATAAATTAATTGAAGATTCCACCAAGGTTATTTTTGAGTCTGGCTGTTGCATTACAGCTGCAGCCAGCTGTGAGGGTGTCCTTAGATGGCTCCTGGGAGCTTCAGAGCCGTGGGCACCCCAGTGCCTCCGTGTGATGCTCCAGAGGCTGGGGACGTTTATCTGGGAATTGTTGATGGTGTCGTGGAAAGGAGCTGAGCCCCAGGTCTGCATGAGGGCCCGGAGAAGCCTGCAGCAACTTATGCAGCAGATCAGACAGATTTAAAGCAGCAAAGTGGGAACGGCTGTGTGCTGGAGGAGGAATGGGGGGTGAATGGAGCTGGTCACTCAGCTGGTCACTCAGGGTGGTGGCTGTGCTGGACACAGCAGATCTTGGTGGTGGTGTCACATCCCTGTCCCTGCCCAGGACAGAGCAGGGCAGCCCCGGTGCTCACACTGGTCATGCCAAGGAATGAATCAGTTCTCTCTGCCTGTTCCTCCAAATCCGATAGCAGGGAGGTCTCTGAGTTCCCCAAATGTGCCCCAGGCAGGTGATGGGGCCAGTTCCTGGCTCCAGCAGCAAACACAGCTGTTGTACAGGTGTCCCAGCCTGGAATTCCAAAGGGATGAGGTACAGGCTGGCCTGGCTGAAGGACAAGTGTGTTGGAAGTGGTGCAGCTCCTCTGGGAGCGGGATGGAGCCCAGGCCCTGTCCCAGGAGCAGCAGTCCCGGGTCCAGGGAGCGAAGGCTCTGCTCACATGGGCTCAGCCCCACACACCAGCCCTGTCCCACTGCTCCTGTTTGCTGGCTCCCTCCCCAGGGCTGCCTGTATTTCGGTTAATTGGCAATTAAACGTGCTGCTCCCGCTCGCTCTGAGCGAGGAAATGAAATTGGTCATGGTTCTGCAAGTCACTGAGTTAGTCCACAAGGGATCCGTGTGGGAAATAATTGCAGCAAATCCCAATTTTCTCTGTCGTTTGAGCGTGTAAGTCCCTATCCAAGTGGTGAGGCCAGGAGGTGCTGCTGAGTGAGGCATGGAGAGCAATTAATTATCTGCTAATTAACAGCAGGAGTCAGTGGGAAAGGGATAGTCCAGAAAGGAGTCCCTGGTTTGATAAAATGTAGGAGAGGTGTTGCCTGCAGCAGGGCTGACACCTGAAAACTGTGGGGTTTGTGGGTTCTCCCAGGTTCAGTGCCAGCCTGTGCCCGCCAGGATGGCAGCTGGGGATGCCCCCCGTGCCCCCCATGCCCCCCATGCCCCCTGTGCCCCCCGTGCCCCCTGTGCACCCCATCATGCTGACCACACACCCCAGAGCAGGACCCTGGGGTGATTTACTTGTTAATCTCAGCCCTGGCTCTGAGAGCATCCCGAGGGCCAGAGGTCAGCAGCCTAATTCCCTGGATTTGCCAGCTCAGCTCCAAGCTCAACCTTTCCTTGTTTTTACAGAACGTGTTCCAGGAAGTTTGTTTTTCCCAGGAATAAAAGTAAAAGCTTAGGTCTGGCTGGCAGAAGCTTAAATGAAATTTAAAGCGACTTCCACACCAACCTAAAAAAACAGCCCCAAAAATGTGGGGGTTTTCAGTCTCTAATGTGCTGACTTAGCCTGGATTTTTAAAGCCCTGCTTTAAGCTATTTCTTTAGCCTAAAATTTGGCATGGACTTATGGAACACGTTTCCAAATGAAGTGCAAGGATTATATAAAAAAATGTTAATAGAAAGAAATGGCAGTAAAAGGATTCAATGAAAATTGGGTGGGTTCTGTAGGTCCCTCTCTGAAGAACTGACAAATTAAGTGCTTATTACAGCTTCCCTTGCCCAAGACCGAATTCCAGGGAGGAATCACAAGCTCAGCCAAGATTTTCAGACCTGAGGCTGACCCCGCACGCATCCACCCTGAGACTGCAGCGGGATGGGAGAGCGATGGGAACTCGGCCCCTCCACGACTCCCAGTGATTCACGGAGTTCAGGGGGCGTTGGGAACGCTCTCAGCCGTGGGGTGGGATTGTGGGGGTGTCCTGTGCAGGGCCAGCACTTGGACTGGACCATCCCTGTGGGTCTCTTCCGAGCTGGATATTTTCTCATCCATGAGGTCATTTGGCTTTGCAGCCCAGGGTGCTGCGGGGTCTCCTGTGGGGTCAGCAGCGCTGCAGCCAAGGGTGGTGGCTCTTCTCCCCCATCCCAAGCCCATCCCTGCTGTTTCCCACAGTGATCCCATCCTGTGAGCTGAGGAGGAGTTCAGAGAGCAGCAGCCCCTGGCAGGGTGGGCTCAGTGCTGCCCAGGCATGGTGCAGGGACAGGAATTTCCTGCTGGGAGCAGGGAAGGGCTGAACCATCACTCCAAGCCTGGAAAGCAGCGTCCCAGCATGAGCCTTCCCAGCTCTTTCCAAGGAAGGCAGGAGGCAGCTTGGTCGTGATCCATGAATAACTTTCTAGGAAGCTGCGAGTGCTGGATGTGCTGAGGGGCAGAGCATCCCCCAGCAGTGCCCAGAACATTCCCACCCATCCATGGGCATCCAGGCTGATTGCCACTCTCATGGACACCCCCGAGGTGTTTTAGGAGCCCTGCTGAGCCGTCCCTGTGCTGCAGCAAATGGCAATACCTGTATTCCCGTGGTTCAGGACATGCCTTGTGGAGCCACAGGGATGCTCCCAGGGAAAATTATCCTGACAGCCCCGTGGAGCACAGCACCAACAAGCACTTCCCTTTTTCCAGTGGCTCCGGTGCTCCCACAGCAGCTCTGGGATGTGCTGCCCTCCTGGCCTGGGCTCTGCAGGGATTTCTCATCTGCTGTGCTCACCCAGCAGGGCAAACCCACTGTGGTGTCCCAGCGGGCAGGGCTGGAGCGAGCCCCCAGCCTGAGGGGGGTGTGGAGCTGGGATCCCCCCACCCCGCTCTGTCAGCGCTGCTGCTCCAGCACTCAGTGATAAATTGCTTTTTGGGGGCACAAAGAGCTGCAGCTCGGGAGGCAGGGAGGAAAGACCTCAGCTGAAATAGAAAATAAGTTTTAGAGCAGTGTAGTGACCTCCTCGCTGCCGGGCTGGGGGAGAGGGGGCTGTGGCTGCAATCCCAAACCGGGGGAGAAGTCTCTGCTCCGTGGGAATGGGGGCAGCAGCCGTTCCCTCGGCACAGCCTTTGTTCCCAGAGGGGACAGGGGCAGTGGTCAGCCACAGCTCCCCTGGCTTGGTCACGGCATTGCCCCTGCAGAGAAGTATCCTGAGAAAGAGAAAATCCCATTCCCTGCCCCATTTCTGTCTCTCATGGTCCTGCTGGAGGGTGCCCAGGGAAAGCAATGGGGGGTTGGCCCAGAGTGCATCAACTCAGCCCCTTTCCAGAGAAAAGCTGTCATCTGTCCTAATTCTTATACAGGGGTAAAGTTGGAATCACAGAGTCACAGATTTTAAGCTCAGGCTCATTTTTGAGCTGATGTGATTTAAGCCAGTCTGACACCACTGGGTGAGAAGCTGCAATCGGCAGGCAAATGAGTGTCGAAATCTGTGGGTGTTGGTGATTCCGAGATTGTAGAAAGTCTCTGTCTTTCTGCCCCGTTGCCAAAGCAGAAGCCATAGTTCGTCTGTGCTGGTTTCAAGGTTGTTTATTCTGTTTATCTCTAACATGTTCTGCTGCCCTGCCGCAGCTCTGTCCTGCAGGGCAGCGTGTGGGGCTCTGCCCTCAGTGGGATGGTACAAACATTAAATACCACAAACTACCTGTGCTGGATTTACAATAACGTGCCAATATCTGTCACCTACGTTGAACAGTGTGTCCCCAGCCTAAACCAATAGAAAAATGCCAACATCACCAAGAACATGGAGGTAAGGAAGAAGAAGGAGGAAGAACAGGATCAGGCCCACTTTCCTCCATCTTAGAACTCCTGACCCCCCTTTACAAAGTAAAACCCCCCTGTACAATACTAAAAAATTTTACCCTCTAATTTGTGACTACTTTTACTATACCATCTAACTCTCTGTCACCGCTTATTCCACCTTCAAAGTTGGTAACTCATTCCATGGCTCAAACTCAAAATCACAGCTGTTTTCAGCTGCTTGCCAGGGTCTAAAATGCTTCTGACCAAGGCCTGGAACCTCTAAAAATGTCTGAGGGACATTTTGAGTTCCGACAAATGAGTGAGGGTGTTGAGTTTGCCTCTTACAGCACCGGTGGTGCCAGCAGCACTGACCTGCCCTGTGCTCCTGCCTCCCTGCAGGTGCCCCCTGCCAGCGCGACCGCCTGAGCTTCGCCTTCTGCCGGACGCTGCGGCTGCTGGGCCGGTGCCCGCTGCCCACCGTGCGCGCCCAGTGCTGCCGCAGCTGCCGCCAGCCCGGGCTGCCAGCCCGCAGGTGACAGCGCTGCCAGCCGTGCCAGGCTCTCGGGCTCTGCCACCCTCCAGCGGTGCTCAAACCCCGGCCGGGGTCCCGCTGCTCCCCACCGCCCCGCCCGGGCACACCGGCGGGGAAGCCGAGGGAAGGGGCAGCTGAAAGCAGCAATATGTGGGGAAGACCTCTCAGAAATGCTTATGGTGCTATCATTTGATGTTTGCAGCCTCTCCAAGGTGTTGGCTGGCCAGCACAAACCTTGACTTTTATTATTATTTTTGTATCTCTGAGGTGAGCATCCAGCATTCCACCGGCTCTGCCGACTCTTTGGGGTAGGGATTTTATTTTATTTTATTTTTTTCCTTTAAGGGACTTGAAGCTGGCAACCCATTCCTGTAATTTTCATTAAAATGTTTACGCACTGAAGCTAAATAGATGTAATTTAAGAAGTGGAGGCAGGGCAGAGGAATAAAGTTTCAGCTTCAGTTGGGGCTGTGCAGGGCTCTGTCTCCCCATTGCTGTGTCCCTCTGGAGCAGAGGGCATCACCAGGGACACCAAGGTTTGGAGTCCAGCAGGGCATTCCCATTCCTTTGCGTGCCTTTGGGCAGGAGAGGGAAGCTGCCCTGGCAGTGAGTGCCACATCCCCTCCCTCACGGGCAGCCAAGTGCTCAGTCCCTGGGTTTCTCTATGTGTAGCAGTGTAATGCTTGGTTAAGGAGTTTTTCTGTGGCCTTACAGGCTGAACCCTTTTTTCCCCTGCTTATCTAGATTCTCCTCTGTTAAGGTTAGCTGATTTTTAACTAGAATATCCCATTTACTCTGAGGCACAGCCCCTACCGCCTGCTCCTGGAGCGTGTGGGAACAAATCCCTCCCTGTCTCGGGGAGGGATTCCTGCCAGGTTGGTCTCTGGAGGAGGGCAGGAGCGTTTAGGTAGGAATTCCTTTCCCTATTACTCCTCGGGCTGTGGAAGAAGCCCAAAAACTGGGGGACCTTAGGGCAATCCTCCCTGCATGGCAGAGTCAGGCTGGAGCCCTGGGCTGCCGGGAGAGCAGCACTCAGCCCAAACGGGGACATTCCTGTGTGTGATTTGTATGTAAAACAAGCCATGACCTCACCATTTGTGCTTTATTCCCTTCCAAGGTGGTGTAAAGTTGTTATGGTCCAAGAACCTGTGTCCAGCCCTGGTTTCCTGGTCCCCAGCACCATCTGCCCCACACCCTGTCACCCTCCCAGGATTGCAAAGGGACGACCCTTGTGTTGGGCTCTCATGGCCACAGCTCACCAAGTGTGTTAAATTAAACAATTACTGAAGGAAGCAGGTGGCTTTCCCATTTTCTCCTCCCCGTGGGGAATTCCGAAGGTTCTCAGTTAATTGGAGATGGTTCAGGCACTGGCAGCAGGAAGGAGCGATCAGTTTGCATCTGAAAATCATTCACAGCTGCCCTTTGCAACTGGGATTTGTTGATTAAAACATGAGCCGGGCTGATGGGATAAATTGGTTCTGCAAATCAATTTCTTTGTGGCACAGGATCTGGTGAGCCCCTCCTGCAGTGATTTTCCACGTGCAGGTCCCAGCTGCGGCTGGCTGAGGGCACAGGATCATCCCTCCTGTGGGACACCAGGCCTTTTTTAGCCACGGAACAAACCAGGCCTGCCACCAGCACAGAAACTGCATTATCAGTGACAATAAACCACATCTGGCTTAAATATCTGCAGTATTTTCTTTCAGCGAGACACCTCCAGTGTCTCTGCAAAGAGGCTCCTCACAAGGGCCTGGCGTGACAGGACAAGGGGGAATGGCTTCCCACAGACTGAAGGCAGGCTGGGATGGGATATAGAAATGCCTTTTTTCTTCTTCTAAGGACGCTTTTATTGTCTCAACACAAGCAGGATGTTATTCAGACACAGCTGCTGCAGTGGGGCGAAAGGAGGAAAGGGCTCGAGGATCAAAAGATGTTTGGGATAGGATCATGGATGGCTTGGGTGGGAAGGGACCCTAAAGCCCATCCAGGGCCACCCCCCACCATGGGCAGGAGCTGGATGGGCTTTAAGGTCCCTTCCCACCCAAAGCACTCCATGATTCTGTGATCTCCTGGAAAACTCTCTGAGAGAGCCCTTTGGCTGCAGATCAGGAGTCAGACCTTTGTGCCTGCCTTGGTCACCTCCAGCCATTCCCAGGCTGGAGACAGGAAGGAAGAGGAGCTCGTTGGTGGGGAAGCAGCAGCAGCTGCTGCTGGAGGAGCTTGTTTGTGTCTCAGCCCCTCGGGAGTGCTCCGAGCGCTTCCGCAGCTCTCCTGGAACGGCACCTGTGGTCACAGCTCCTGTGCTCACAGCTCCTGTGGTCACAGCTCCCGTGCTCACAGCTCCCGTGGTCACAGCTCCCAGACCTCACCAGGGGCCTCTGTCCAGCCCAGGTGACCTCACCTGGAGGGTTTGAGTTCCCAAAGAGCCACAGGGTCACCAATCCTTCACCACGGACTGGGCAGGGACACGGTCCCAGCCCGGGCAGCGAAGCCAGGGGGACCAGGAGCAGCTCAGCTCCCACCAGTCCTTTCCCGATAATGAAAAGAAATGAGTTTATTTCCTCTTGTTCTTAAAACCTTCTTTGCTGCACAGAAAGGCTTCGCAGGCACAGCACAGAGGGGCAGCAGGGCCAGGACAGCAAGGGAAGGATTGAAAAATGTGACTGGTTTGTTGAAAAATGTGACTGGTTTATTGAAAAATGTGACTGGTTTATCTTTTAGTTTGGATTTTAGTTGGCAGCTGATCCCTGCCAGCTGCTCCGGGAGGGAACAGCCCTCGCCCACCTCGGGGTGCTGCCCCCCGGCTTCAGCAGCTCATCCCGGGACTGGCCGGTCCAGAGGGACATTCCCGGTGGAATGAGGCACAGGGAGGGCAGGAGGGAGGGAAGGAGGGAGGGAAAGGAGCTGCCCCGCTCGCAGCTGGTCCCAAGCACGGTGTGTTTGCTCACCTGGAGCAGCCGGGTTTGGAAATTCAGTAAAGCCCTTCCACATGTGCGCTGGGAGGGGAGGGCTGCCACAGCCCCACAGCCCCTGCCCCGCACCGAGGGAAGGCTCAGCCGGTCCAAACATTTAAAATGGAATAAAAGGAACTCTGCTCCGCTGCCATCCGCGGTGAGTAACAGTTCCACCCCAGTAAAGTGTGTGCAAACTCCAGCCCTCTGCACGCCCTGGGGCCGGCGGGGCAGGGGAGCAGCCCCGGACCCTCTTCCACCTCCAGCCTGGATGTCCGGGATGGAATCGGGATTTCGGGCCGGGAAAGGCCAGCTGGAATCCGGAGGCTGCTGGAAATCGCCCGGGGTGTCCGGCTCTGGCAGAGGGGCGGCAGGGTAGGTTGGCTCGGCTGGGGGAGCGGAGGTGGGGAGGGGTCTCTGCTGTGCTGGGGTCTGAGGCACGGCAGGAGCTCAGCCTGGGCTCGGGCTGCTGCTGCTGCTGCTGCTGGAGGGGGAGCGATGGGAGGGAAGGTGCCCGCCAGCAGCTGCCCTGGCCGAATCCCCCCGGCTCCGAGGTTTGGGGGGGTTTGCTGAGCTCTCTGCTCCTCCACGTCCCTCCCGGGCTGCTCTGAGCCCCTGCGGAGGTGTGAGCCCGGGAGCGGAGCATCCTGCCGGGGTACCCACCTGCAGGGAGCCCGGCCCTTCGGCTCCGAGATCCCCCCGGCTCCGAGACCCCCCCGGCTCCGAGATCCCCCCAGCTCGGAGATCCCCCCAGCCCGGAGATCCCCCCGGCTCCGAGATCCCCCCCAGCCCGGAGATCCCCCCCCAGCTCCGAGATCCCCCCCAGCTCCGAGATCCCCCCCAGCTCCGAGATCCCCCCGGCCCCGAGATCCCCCCGGCTCCGAGATCCCCCCAGCCCGGAGATCCCCCCCAGCCCGGAGATCCCCCCCAGCCCTGAGATCCCCCAAGCCCGAAGATCCCCCCCAGCTCCGATATCCCCCCCCAGCTCCGATATCCCCCCCAGCAAACAGCACCCACAGGGCAGAACCAGCACGGCTCAGCTCCGCCCTGCCCTGTCCGCCCTCCGCAGCTCCTCCGGCCAAGCCCCGGGGCTGTGCGGCCGCAGGGTGCGGCTGGAGCCGGGCATGGGGCAGCCGGGGGTCCCGGAGCCCGGCGGGTCCCCGGAGGCTCCTCCCGGCACGGCGCTGCCGTGGGTCGCTGGTGCCCTCTGCAGTTGTCCCTCCCCGCTGGAAATGCAAAGGATGTTAAGGTGTTAATCCGAGGGAACAATTTTAGGACTTTTTGCTCCAGGTGAGGCCCGTGTGTTTCTTCCCGGGCTTGGAGGAGCATCCCGAGTTCCTCCGGGAGCATCCCGAGTTCCTCCAGCACCCCTCATCCTGCCCGATGGGATCCCCCTGGAGCTGTCCCCGTCCCCCATTCCCTCCCCGGTGTCTCCTGCTCCCTGGCTGTTCCTCTGTCACCTCAGTGTCCCCAAAGGCCTCTGCCCACCCCGGTGCTGGGGCAGCAGCGGCGGGGATGGACAAAGATCCCAAGCCCAGTAAAAATGGAAACGCTGGGAAGTGCAGCAGCTCCTGGGAGCCACCCCCAGTGCCCCAGCAATGAGAACTGGGAACATTCCTGCTGCCCCAGGCCTGCTTTTGGGATCTGCCCCTTTTCCCCAACTGTTGCTCTGGAGAACTTTCACCCTCTGTGCCCGCAGCACGAAGCCCTCAGAGATAAGGACCCCAGGGCCCTGCAGGAACCAGGAGAGTCACCTCAGGGCCACCATTCCCTGTCCTCCGAGCTTTAGTCAGAGCTGGGAGCGCAGCTGGGGTGGTGGCAGCGAGCTGTGCAGGCACACAGAGCCCCAGGAGCCCCGCCAGGGAGAGGAGCAGCTATCTCGGGGCCTCAGGAGCCACAGAACCTCCTGCTGGCAGAGATAGCTGCATTCTGAACAGAAAATATCAACCCTCCTGCTGGAGGGCAAAACCCAAGCAAATTCCAGGAAAGGAGCCAGCAGATAACGCAGCTGAGGCTGCCTGGAGCTTTTGGGCCATCCCTGCAGTGGGGTGGGACACAGGATGTTCCCCTGTGCTGGCACATGTGTCCATGGGGCTACAAAGAGTTTGAAATTTAACTGAAATTTAACTGAAGCTGAGGAACTGGAGTTGAGAAGTGTTTTCTCACAGCTGCAGGAACCTGTGGAAAAAAGGGGATTGTTCTCCTCCCCCTTTAATTAATTTTTTCAGCTAATTTGGCACTTGAGGGGAGGGGCTCTGCAGTGCCATGGAGCAGCTCATGCCGTGCCAAGGGAACATTCCCTGTTTGTGATGCTGAGCCCACTCTGTGTTTCCATGCCCTCAGGGAAGCTCTGTGGGGTTTATTAAAACGGCCACAAATCCCTGAAATCCCCACAGATGTTTGCACTGCGCCCCAGGGATCTCTCACTGGGGAAGCAGCCACCAAGCAGGGAGCGCTCCAGGGAGGAGGAGCAGCTCCCCAAACCCGCAGCAGATCCTGGACAGATCCTCTGCTGCCCAGGGAACGGGAAATCCACGCTCAGATCCAGAGCTGCTGGGAGGAGCCCTGGGGAACGTCCCCAGTGGGAAAGGTGGGACGGCTGGAATGTTCTGGATGCTCCAGGTGAGGTCGGTGAGGCAGCAGTGACAGGAGCAGTGACAGCAGCAGGACAGTGGCAGCCAGCAGCAGCAGGAGGGGCTGGGGATGCTGTCACCTCCCACACTGCAGGAAAGTCGGAAGGAAAAACAGGATCAAGTTCTGGTCCACAGGGAAATTCACCCTCAGGGTGGCTATAAAGCAAAGCCTCCAGAATCAGAAATGTGTGACATTAACAGGGAAAGAGCTCGAGGATTTAGCAGGAATTGTGCCCCAGTAAAAATCTTGTTCTAGTCCAGTCCCTCAGCTCCAAATCCTTTTTCTGAATTAATTTCAGCTTTAACGTTTATCAACACCAAAGAAGCTGAATGAAATTAATTCTGTAATGTAACTCTAAACTTGATCCTTAAGAAAAAAAACAGAAAGCAGCATTTCAGTACAAGAATCTGTCTTATTTTTACAGTGCAGTGATTGAAACAATGTAGAAATTCAACTTGCAAAACTGAATTTGTATCACAACGTCTCTCAGAAGGCAAAGCAAATGTGTTGCTTTGAATCACAAAATACTCCTCTGGACACCAAAAATTACAAACTTCCAGCACCATACACAGGGCTTTCTTTTAGAGACTGATTCCTCATAATTTAAATCTATCTTATAAACAATTTCTCTTTAAAAAAACACATGAAAGATAAAAACAACTCAAGTATTAACGCCAAGGCCTTGGTTATTATTATTATTTCCTCAGCTCGCAGCAGGGCTGGGGTCCCTAGTCGGGCTCAGTCACGCACTGCTCCACGATCTCCCGCAGGTTCGGGTTCTCCATGGCTGCTGCCACCCTCTCCTTGTCGTTGATCTGCTTGTTGACTGCAAAACACCCCGGGACAAACAGCCAGGACAGGGCTCAGGAGCTGCCAGGGCCACCAGGGGCTCAGCAGCAAAGGACATCCAAGGGGGGACTGGGAAAGGGGGAATGAGGCAGATGCAAGCGCAGTCACAACAAATAATAATTTCTGTGCCTTTTCTAGCTCAGGAAAAGGATTTGGGGTGTTCCAGTGGCATATCCCAAAATGAAGAGTGCAGTTCAGGGTAAATGAGTAGCCCAGGTTCTCCAGGTCCAGTTTGCAGCTCTTTAACCAGAATATCCCATTTTTGGCAGGCACTGAAGGCTCAAGCCCAGGGCACTGCTGGGACTCCACAGCTGCTGCTGAGGCTGGCCAGAACATCCAGGTCCTGCCAGCTTTGCTGCAAACCTGCCTGAGAAACGTCCAGTTTGGGAGTGGGGAGCTCAGGCCAGTGGCACCAACAGCTGAGGCAGCTCCTCCTGTCAATTACTCCACTTTTGTTACCAACACCTGTCAGAGGCGGGGGGGTTTTGTTACAAAACCAAACCAGGAGGTGGTCACAGAGTCACCACAGCCTTGGGAACACCTGGATGCCACTGGGAACCCCTGGATGGGTGTTCAGGCTCGGGCAGGGGACAGAGCACAGGGGGCTGAAGCAGCAGCATGCACAGGCTGTACTCACTGTCCTCCTCCGTGGAATGTGTGCCCTCAGAAATGTAGATTTCCAGCTGCAGGAGAGATCAGCAGCGTTAGGGGCTCCACAGCAGTGCAAAACCTTCCCCCTGGAGGAAATCCCTGTCCCCCACACACACAGGGTGCTGCCACAGGAGGGGAATGCTGCCCAGAGCTCCCTTGGGCTCCCAGCTGGGAGCGAGGAGCCAGCAGCTACAGAACCCAAAAATCAGCTGCAGGCATCCTCAGGTAATGAACGTGTTCTTTAACAAGGCTCTAAAGGTCTGTGTTTAATTTAGGGAGGCTGCCATTCATTAATGGAATTTCAAACAGGCTTCAAACCAGGCACTGTACCTTGTGTCTAAAAGGCAAACATCTCTGAAGTTTGATTCTTAAACAAAGGCCTGTTAAAACAGAACACAAAAGAGATTTTCTGTAAAAGTCAAGGTCTGAGGAGCATTTTCAGAGAATCCACGTTTAACAGTCAGTGTAACTGACAATGTCCTTTTGTACCCTCAGGAGCACAAGCCACAGAGGGAAAAGGGACAAGCAGAAATTTGTCTTTTAAAATTTTTTTTTAATTTAAGAGCTGCAAATTGTCAATAACATTAATGGAGTAACTTGGAGAATGCAAAGAAGGAATTGTGTACACTTCCCAGCGGACTTTTGAGAGGTTCTCTTTGAAGAGTTTCCCTAACATGACACAAACACATGGGTGTCCCCGTTTCTCTGGATTTGGGGTTTTTTTGCTCGCTTTGGGCTGGTTTTTGGTTTGGTTGCATTGGTGGTTGGGTTCTCAAGCTGCAATTCCTGGTCAAACCAACACAGCCAGGCAAGGCTGAATCTGCACTGGGACTGATGGCATCCAGCCAGGCTGAAATGAGCCCTGTGCCCTCTGTTTGTGCCCTGCTCAAGGGGATCTCACCGATCAGAGTGGCAATGAGCATCCAGCCAGGCTGAATTGAGCCCTGTGCCCTCTGTTTGTGACCTGCTCAAGGGGATCTCACCGATCAGAGTGGCACAGACAGGCTGAAATGAGCCCTGTGCCCTCTGTTTGTGACCTGCTCAAGGGGATCTCACCGATCAGAGTGGCCAAGGAGCAATGAGGTACTGTGGGTGTAAACCTGATGATGACCAGATATTCATCCTCCCCTATCTCCTGCACTTGCACGCAGTTCTCTGTCACCACTTCCAGCTCTTCCAAAGTGTTGGGCTTCTCCGGGTCGCGGATCGTGCGGATTATGTCTGAGACAAGTGAGCACAGTGAGGATTTCACAGGAGGGATTTGCACCAGCACCCCCTTCCCCACACTGCTGATGTTGCTGCTCTCTGGCAGCCACACCAAGCCAGCCCAAGGAACCAAGCACGGCCCTGGCTCCCTGCCTGGCCCCTCGGGACCCCCTCCCCGCCCCGAGCCCCTCAGGGCCCGGCGTGTTCCTCCCTCAGCCCACCAAGGGCAAACCGGGACCCCGCCCGGGGCTCGCCCCGCGCGCCGCGGCAGTCACCATAGACCTCGATGGCCCTGTCGTGCTCCATGGCGCGGCTCGGGGGCGCATGGCGGGCGCTAGCGGCGGGGCTCCGCCACAGCCGGCCCAGCGCCTGCCACAGCAGCGCCAGCGCCAGCGCCATGGCCGCGCTCCGCCATCGGCCCCGCCGCTTCCGCTTCCGCTTCCGCTTCCGCCCGGGGCGGGGCCACCGCCCGCCAATGGGCGCCGGGGCGGGGCTAAAATTGGCCAATGGGAGCGGAGAGATGGAGCAACGCCCACCTGGGGCGGGGCCTCGGCGCCTCCGCGGGAGACGCGTCCGGGACGGGGACGCGACAGGGACGGACACGGGGGGACACGGAGGGACACGGGGGGACACGGAGGGACACGGGGGGACACGGAGAGATCCCGGGACACGGGGGGACACGGGGGGACACGGGGGGACACGGGGGGACACGGAGAGATCCCGGGACACGGAGGGACACGGGGGGACACGGAGAGATCCCGGGACACGGAGGGACACGGGGGGACACGGAGAGATCCCAGGACACGGGGGGACACGGCGGGACACGGAGAGATCCCGGGGCACGGAGGGACACGGAGAGATCCCGGGACACGGAGAGACACGGAGAGATCCCGGGACACGGAGGGACACGGAGACACGGGGACAGCCTCGGGACATGGAGGGACACGGGGGGACACCGAGACATGGAGGGACACCGGGACACGGAGGGACCCCCGGGCTAGCCCTCGGACACAGAGAAGACCCCGGGACAGCCGGGGGACACAGAGGTACCCCGGGACAGTCCCTGCCCCAGAGTGGGGACACAGAAATGCCGCGGGGATCCACTGCAGCGGAGATCAGACATAAGGCACAGAGCGTTCCACTTAAGGAGAGCTCCGCTGCAGCGGCGCGGCGGGGACTACAGCTCCCAGCGTGCCTTGCCGCGCCGCGGGACTACAGCTCCCAGCGTGCCTTGCCGCGCCGCGGTGCGCGCTGGGAGTTGTAGTCGCGGCCCGGCGGCGCCCGGCTGACCGGAACGGGGCCGGCCCGGCGGGATGGCGGCGGCGCGGGGCGAGCGGCGCTGAGGGCGGCCCGGAGCGTGCGGGGCCCGGAGGATGGCGGAGCTGCGGGTGCTGCTGGCGGCCGGCTCGGGGCAGGCGCGGGAGGCGGCGCGGGCGCGGCTGAGCAGGGCCCGGCACGCCCTGGGCACCGTGCTGCGCGGCGGCGGGATCCGCCTGGAGGCGCTGGGGCCCGGCGGGCCCGGGCGGGCCGGGGGCAGCGTCCTGCCGGGAGCCTGGGCCGAGTGAGTGCGAACGGAACGGAACGGAACGGAACGGGCCGAGCGGGGCGGCCAGCGGGGCGGGAGCGCTGCCGGAGCCGGGCGGGGCTGGGGCCGATCTGTGTGTCCGGCTGGGTCACATCTGTGTGTCCGTCTGTCTGTCCGGCTGGGTCACATCTGTGTGTCCGTCTGTCTGTCCGGCTGTGCCCTGTCTGTCTGTCCGGTTGGGTTCTGTCTGTCTGTCTGTCCGGTTTGGGTCCGGCTGGGTCACATCTGTGTGTCTGTCTGTCTGTCCGGCTGTGTCCTGTCTGTATGTCCGGCTGTGCCCTGTCTGTCTGTCCAGCTGTGCCCTGTCTGTCCGGCTGGGTTCTGTCTGTCTGTCCGGCTGTGTCCTGTGTGTCTGTCCAGCTGTGCCCTGTCTGTCTGTCTGTCTCCTGTCTGTCTGTCTGTCCTGTCTGGCTGGGGGTGCTCACGGCAGCAGATCCCAGAGCAAGCAAGGAGGGTTTGCCTGTCGGGATGTTGGCTTCACACCCCAGGGCCCTGAGCCATGCCCGGGGCCAGCCCAGGGTGACATTGGCGGTCACACGGTGACTTTGGCACCTTTGGCACCATTGGCGCGTGGTGGCTTTGCCATCTGCTCTGGCAGCTTCCGTGCTGAGCCAAACCCACGCCAGTGTGAGCATCTGCAGGGCATCCCTGCTGTGCTGGGTGGCCAAAGTGAAGAACGCAGAGGATGAAGCCTTTGTCCTGGAGAGGAGGAGGAGGAGGAGCTGCGGTTCCTCAGGCTCTGTCCTGCCTGGGATGAAGCAGCTCAGTGCTGGGAGGGCAGGGTGGCAGCGGGGTTTCTGCTGGAGGGAAGGTGTTGCCCCCATCAGAGCACATCCAGAGTGCTCAGCGTGGGAGATGGGAGGGGAATAAATAACCTTCCTGAATGTTTCATCTCCAGCTTCGTGTGGGACAGCTCCGAAGAGGATGGTTTGCAATCCAACAAGATAAAACTCCTGGCTCTTGCTCAAAGCCATGACCTGTTTGTCTATGAATTCAGTGTGGAAGATGGAAAACACAGCCCAAATTCCCTGCACAGTTGTGAGGCACAGACGCTGATAAAGCTCCTGGAAGCTAAAAGCATTAGTGAGTAAATCTCAGTGTGTGGAATACTGCAGGTCTGGTTCTGCTGCTCCGGGTGGCACGGAGCACTAGGGAGTTTCAGCTCCAATCCAGCAGGATTCATGGGCTTCAAAAATAATGGGGACATTTCTGTGTTCAAAGGGGACATTGTTGAAAGAATTAAACTCTTGTAGGGTCATGTTTGAGTGATACAAAGTTAAAAATGAATTCTAGTAAGATATATGCAACCCTGCTGTCTCGATTTTTAACTTTAATATTGGGACTGATGGGAAGAAAAGGGAGACAGGGCTTATCAATAACCTTGCAAAGACTAATTAAACATTTAACCTTGTATTTTATGATTAGCAAACATGGTGTGCAGTTAAAATGAGCCTTTGATGGTTTACATGTTTGTAAAATATTTTATTTTCCTAAAATATTTTATTTCTGAAGTTTATAGCTTTTCTTCTCAGTGCTGACTGAAATCCTATTTTGTGCTGATTTTTTTAATGTTCTTCATAGTATTGTCCACTGAAAAAGACACATAAAAAGCTTTGGGAAATTGTTCTAGAGTTAGTGGCCCTGGTACAGAAAGTGAGATTGAAAACCAGCCACCCCAGCTCACAATCCCAGCTTCTGTTAGGATGGTAACTGGGGCAATGAATTTGAGCTGTCATTTTCTTGGGATTCCTTTACAAATCAAAAGCCCCAGCTGTTTGTAATCCAAAATTTAAATATCTTTAAATTTACAGGTGTGCCTTCAATTTTCTCAGTGAAGATTCTGTCGTTTGGAAACAACAAGTGCAAACTTCTGCTCAACCAGTTCATCCTGGTGCACCTGACCTTTCCTGGGGAGGACTCACCCCCAGAGACCTGTGGCTGCTTCCCCCTGGCTCTGCCTGCAGGAGCTGTGGGGAGAATAGCAGACTCCCAGTTCTGCAGGGGGATCCTGTTCCTGCTGGACCCTGCTGGCTGGATTTGTATCCTTTGCAGGAGAGCTCAGGGAAGATCACCTGGAAGAGCAAAGTTGCTTTTCTCTGCTCTCAGGGCTGAGCAGAAAGTTCTTTACAGACATTTAAGTGGTGCCTGCATGGAAGGTTGTGCAGCCAAATCCTGGTTATTGTAGGGAAGTTGTGTGTGCAGGGTTTCCCAGCACCCCGCTGGATTTATGGCTTTCCTTGAGGGGTTTGATTCATGGCTCTGTGTGTAACAGGCTGACTTCTGCTGCCAGCTCATGGCTCAATTAAAACAGAAACGATCTGCAGGCACACAGGGAGCTTGGGAGGCAGCTCTGTGTTGGGATGAGCAGGGGCTCAGGCCTGGCAGCTCCACCAGCTGCTGCCTTTTACCTGTTCCTGCTCATCTCCTCTGGCACATGAAAGCACAATAAATGTGCTTTAATGTGCTTTTTAAAGCTGCCTTTCCCTCCTCCTGGAGCCAAAATTCAGCACCTTCCCCTGGTGTGTAACTGTCGCTATTGGACACAAAATGAGTACACACAAGCTTGGTCAGTTCAAAAGAGAAAAAGAGCCAATTTTATTTCTGACCTCGCAATATCTAGAATTCTAAAAGTGACAGTGGATTGGAGGATGCAGTTGCCACCTCTCCAACCACACTGGTCTCACCAACAGCCCATCAATTCTCTCCTCCCACAAAGAAGAATGCAAAACAACCATTATTTACATCAACAGTGCGTGAGAACTCCAGCAGAAATATGTAAACATCAGAAGGCATAGAAAACTTTTAAAAGAACTTTAAAACTTTCAAAAGAACTATAAAAGAAAACACTTTTAAAAACCAGGGCAGCACGTAACGGCTGTGTTGCTCACTCCAGGCCTGGATGCTCTTTGTTCCTTGATGCTCTTTGCAGACATATGTGACTGCTCTGATGGTGCCACGCTGGGGAAGGTCGGTGTGGCCCTGGGGGCTGGGCAGGGGCAGGGCCCAGCCCCCGTGTCCCCCCTGGCTGCCCTGGCAGTGTCCCCTGACCTCAGCACGGCCGTGGTGACCGACACCAGCCAGCGAGCCGTGGCTGTGCAGCTCAACACCTACTTCAGGTACAGCTCCCAGGGGTGCTTTGGGCTGCCCCGACCCTCACGGCTCCCCAGGCTGGGCCAGTATCCACAGGGTGCTGGCAGCTTTTCACTCTGGCTTCTGTGCTAGAGCAGAAATTCCCTCTTAGTGTAAAGATTGTCCTTGCATTCTTGCTCTAATTTATTCCCTGCCACTTTCACAAAGGAAACTGTTATCTGTAACACCTCTTCATTTAAATCTGTCTATTAACAAGCAGATAGACCTTGCCTTGCCCTTCAGTTTTTGCCAGGGAGATGAGGTGCTCTCGGTGCCAGGGGTGGGTGGTAGCACCTTTTAGAAGTACTGTGGGGTATGGAATCATCAAACTGTACTGGTACAGCTGTGCTGATTTAGCTTGCTAAATTAGGGCCAGGTGGTAATTAAGAGGTGGTGTCCACCTCAAAGGAAGGAGCATCAGGTTCTGATGGCTCACCTGCTACCCTGAGAGAAAACGGCACCCAGAGCTCCTGGAGGTGTTAAATGTGAAAAAAACATCTTAAAACATCTGAGCAAGGTGGAATTTCGTATTCATTTCTTTACAGACAGTTCCCTGAACATTTGCTCTGTAAGAGAGATCCTGAAAATCTTCCAGTGAAGCCTGCAGAGGGGCTGGACGAGGATGACCTGGCCAGTTCTGAGCACAGCATGGAGCTGCTGTCGCTGCCCTTCCGCACAGACAGGTACAGGAGGGAAGGAGCTGCTGACACAGGCTGGCCTTTGC